GTGAGGACAGGAGAGAGAGAGAGAGAGAGAGGAGGTATTTGCCTGCTGGCAAAGGCAGTGCCTCTTTCAAAAGATATCTGAAAATTTATGGGCACATCAATGATGAAGACTTGGTTTCACTAATTTGTTGTGGGAGGCCCAGAGCTAAGTCGTGTAGCATCTCTTTCGCACACAGAATTAAGGTTAAATCCGTGGCTTAAGCTAGATAGATAAGATAAAACTTTGTTCGCATTAGCCAATGGCAATAGCAACAGTAAAACATTACAGTGGTACCTCAGGTTAAGAACTTAATTCGTTCTACAGGTCTGTTCTTAACCCGAAACCATTCTTAACCTGAGGTACCACTTTAGCTAATGGGGCCTCCCACTGCCACTGTGCCGCCACTGCGTGATTTCTGTTCTCATACTGAAGCAAAGTTCTTAACCTAAGGTACTATTTCTGGGTTAGCGGAGTCTGTAACCTGAAGCGTCTGTAACCTGAAGCATCTGTAACCCGAGGTACCACTGTACAGTATACGCAGAAAAGGAAGTCTGATATAAGAGCTCAATTTAAAGTTCTGAATCAGCCCTCAGTTAGTGGCCCTTATTCTGATTGCCCCTGCTATGAACCTTGCAACCTTTGCTGTTATCTGCTCATTTTGATCTGATAGAGGAAAGGACATTGTGGTAATGGTTGAGCGTCCTGGGATGGTTAGTACGAGTGGGGTGATGATCTCGTTCCTCAGGTTTTTGTAGAGAGTACAAGACAGGAGGACGTGTGCCACTGTTTCCGTATCCACAGGGGCAAATATGTTTCTCAGGCGGGATCTTTTGGAATTGACCCTCAAGTACCGCAGATGGCAAAACATCCAGTCTTGCAAGTGTAAAAACACATCTGTATTTTGGGATAATAAGTTTGTGCAGATATGGGGCCAAAGAATCGAAACAGAGAGGTGGAAAATGAACATACCAAGGGCAGAATTTCCTTATAGTGGCCTGGCTTAAGAACATAAAAGCCTGTTCTCACAGTCGTTGACCAGATTCCTTTGTTCTTCTCCAGGCTAGTTTGTTGGGCTAGAAACGTTCCTATCCAAGTCATGTATTTTCTACAATAAACTATGTCATTATTGTCTTCCTATGTAAGCATCTCTCTGTGTGTGATTGCCCCAAGTAAGGTTGTTATGTACTGAGTTGAATAGGATCCAAAATGCAGCAGTCTGATTGGTCCTAGAACAATAGGATCCAAAATGCAGCAGTCTGATTGGTCCTAGAACAATGCAGCAGTATGATTGGTCTGCAGGAGCCACCCAATCCAGCTCCAGATGGAAGTGAATCCACAACCTGATTGGCCTACAGGAGAATCCCAGAATTAGCCAATCACGTGGAGCCCATTGTGTAAATAATGTATATAAAGCAGATATTTTGGGAAAACTTTCATTCCTCCTCACCACTATGAGCTGAATAAAGAGTATGAAATCCACTCTCCACTCCGAGTATATTTCAAATATCTCAAGGGGCTGTCATGGGGAAGAGTGAACAAGCTTATTTTTCCTGCTCTGGAAATTAGGACCCAAACCAATGGCTTCAAGTTACAAGAAAGAAGAGTCTGACTAAACATCAGGAAGAACTTTCTGACAGGAGGAGCAGTTTGACAGTGGAACAGTCTCCCTCGGGAGGTTGCGGATTCTCCTTCCTTGGAGGTTGTTAAGAGAGGTTGGGTGGCCATCTGTCATGGATGCTTTAGCTGGATTCTTGCATTGCAGGGGGTGGGACTAGATGACCGTCGGGGTCCCTTCCAACTCTACAATTCTATCATTCCATGAGGCAGTCTCCTGCAGAATACATAGGAACCACCTTACATCAAGCTGCCTTTTATCAAGTCAAACCATTGGTCCATCTAGCTCTGTGATGTCTGGCAGCAGTTTTCCAGTTCTGTCTCAGCCCTCCCTGGAGATTGCTGGGAGTTGATTGGTTGGGGATATAAGAGGAAAGGTGATTTTTCAGCAGCACAGTACTCAGCTTACCTGTACTGTGTTGTAGTAGATGAACCTTGAGGCCCCTTCCAACTCTCTGATCCTATGATTCTTTAACCAAGATTCACCATACCATAGCTGTCAACCGTCCCTTATTTGGCGGGAAAGTCCCTTATCCCAGCGCCGTGTCCCGCTGCTGTCCCTTATTGATGATGTCCCTTAAATTTCCTGGGTTTCAAAGGAAGCAGCTCCTCTCCCTCCCTCCCTGCCGGCCAGGGAGGAGGGAGGCTCCAACTGCGTTGCTTGGCTGCATTGCTCACCCAATAAGGAGTCTAAGAACGACTGGGGGGGTGGAGCTTGCATGCCTTGTGCTGATCAAATTGGCCGCGTTGCCTGGGGACTCGCCTTTGCTCAGTGCTTCTCAGCGGAGAAGTGACGGTGGTTTTCCTTGCTGCATCCCCTTTGCCGGGTTGCTGCGCTGTGGGAACCACTGCTTGAGGCTTCGTTTGGCTGCTGGTTGACTAAAATCCCTTATTTTGGCTGCTGATCCCTTATTTTCGAGGCTGCTGGTCCCTTATTTTCAAATCTGTAAGTTGACAGCTATGCACCATACCGTCCAACACTCCTCAGAAAAACTGGGACACTTGGAGGATGTGGGTTCACTCATTCCAAGCTGAAGCCCTTAGAAGAGAATACGGCTTCGTCAGGCTCAAGGACGCTGGTATCACAATATTCAACACAACTGGAAACATCTTGCAGAACTAAGGTGGGCCCCCAAAATACATATCTCAAGTGTGAAAACCCTGCACCTCCAGCGCTTACTCACTCTGCACAATTGTAAATAAACACTGTAAGCCTTTCGTTCTCTTTCTTCCAAATGAAAGCTACTCTGTAAAAGAGGCCCTGAACTTATGGCTGCTCAGCGGTAGGGAAAAGCTGTGAAATGATGTTGTTGTTGTTTAATGCAATCTTAATGCCTGACACGTTGATTCTTGCCCAGAGGTTTCAAGAAGAGGGTCTCGTTAAAAATCTAAAAGAATAAATACTGCTCCGTCAGAATGGCTAATTGTGTTCCAGCTGATTTATCTTCGTTCAAGCAATCTGTGGATGGGGTGGGGAGGTGACGAAGCAGCTGCCTTAGATCTCCGGGGGACGGGGGAAAATGACAATTAGCAGAAGATGCTCCTCTCTGGAGAAATGGAACCCATAATATCTAGTACTGAAAGTTCCGATGCAAACCAAGGAACCAATCAGAAGGAGTGGGTGGAGCTTAATGACGTACCATTTGCCCCACCTACAACCCCCACATGGCTTAGGACAGTATTTGCATAAAATTTGCATGCATTAATGTATGTCTGTAGCTGCAACTTGAGAAATGATTTTGGTGATTTAAGTAGAAATGCATTGCATCTCACCACAGTAGGGAAGATTTTGAGCCAATGAGTTGTGCTCCTGTTCAGTTTGGTGCCCAGCTTATGACAGGCAACTTCAGAGCAGCTCCTGCTCTCCTTCTTAGAGATTTTTTCTGCTTTAAACTTGGGACAGAGCTTGAGATTGAAACAGAGAAAATCATCCCCTCCTCTCCTCTCCAATAAGTGACAGCAGCCAAGGTCCCATTGATTATCTCCAGCTGCCAAAGCGGAAAAAGACAGCAACAGAGAGAAAATAAAATGCTGAAGAGCAGCAAACTACAGAAACCTGCAGAGAGGAGCAATTCAAAGGCAGGCTTTTGAATTATGGGATGAGCACACCCGGTGTCAGCTCCCAGCATGCTCCACAGCTGCTGTGGCCGACAAACACCTAAGGTGTTGTTAGGTTCTGAGCCCCAGGTCTTTCGCGCTGGCCTCAAACATTCTGCCTCTTTTAATTTTTTTTTTCTTTTTACTTTGCTTTCAGGACTCCTGGGTGCCCTGCAACATGCAGCCACTTGCCACCCCCATTGTTCTGCCCGGACACTGAGATCCAGCTCTGAGGGCTTCTGGCGGTTCTCTCCCTGCGAGAAGAGAGGTTACAGGGAACCTGGCAGAGGGCCTTCTCGGTGGTGGCGCCCTCCCTGTGGAACTCCTTCCCATCAGATGTCAAGGAAATAAACAACTATCTGACCTTTAGAAGACATCTGAAGGCAGCCCTGTTTAGGGAAGTTTTTAATGTCTGATGTTTTATTGTATTTTAAATATTTTGTTGGAGGCCGCCCAGAGTAACTGGGAGGTTTCGCCGTTTTTTCCAGTTTTTCAAATTTGTTTATACTTTTCAAGTTTATACATTTCACTAGTTTTATACATATCACTAATTTTACAATCGTTTTAACGTTTCAAAATTTGACGTCCTTCCCCCTCTTTCTGCGGTTCCTTAAATTTATTTTTAATGTCCTCTGCATATCCAAATGAACATAATTTTCTCATTTAGTTTAAATATATACATATATATATATATATATATATATATATTTAAATATATACTCTTATAAAACTGCAGGTTATTACAATAATCCTGCCACGGATCTGATCTGTTTACAATCTAGCTGTAAATATTCAATAAACCCTTTCAACTCTTGTATAAAAATTTTGTTACCTTGATTTCTTATTCTTCCGGTATGTTTTGCAACTTCTGCATATTCCACAAGTTTTCGTATACATTCTTCCTTTGCTGGGACTTCTGCTCCTTTCCATTTTGGGACGAATAACATTCTTGCTGCTGTAGTCACATACATGAATAAGTTTCTATACAGTTTAGGTAGTTCTGTCCCTATAATTCCCGTTTTCTTTTTCTTTTAGGACTTTTGCAGTTTTGGAGCTGAAATAAAAAACATAATGTCTGCTTCATCTTGGAGGTGTGTATTACAGGACCCCCAAGCCTGCAATGGAGACTTGAATCTGGAGAACACTGCAGACACAGGAATGGTAACATTTTGAGACAGACATGGTGAAAGCGCAGCGGCAAGAGCCAATCCAGTTGCCCCATCATCTTGTCCTCATCATCAGGGGTTTCATGAAATTATAGAATTGTAGAGTTCGAAGGGACCAGGAGGGACGTCTAATCCAATCTCTGGCAGTGCAGGAATCTTTTGGTCTCAAACCCACAACCTTGAGATTAAGAGTCTCATGCTCTGCCACTGAGCTGCTTCACCTCTGCTTGGAACCCGTAGCTTCTTCTTCTTTGGCGATCCCTCGTAGCCGAGTAAGATTGTCTTCCATAAACACGGTTTTAACAATGAGTCCGTAAGTGACTGTGGAGGCCAATTCTGGATCCACACATCCTTCCACAGTGGGGACATTGGTTTCTGGGCGGGAGTTGATCACGGTGTGGATTTGCCAAGCATGCCTCCCTCTTAGCACGTTTCTCCCTTTCGTCCTGAGTTTGAGTGTCTTCAAAGCCCATGACACCTTTGGTAAAGGCTGTTCTCCAACTGGACCGCTTGCAGGCCAGTGTTTCCCAGTTGTCGGTGTTTATACTACATTTTTTAAGATTTGCCTTCAGACAGTCTTTAGACCTCTTTTGTTGACCACCAGCATTACGCTTTCCATTTTCAAGTTCAGAATAGAGTAGTTGCTTTGGAAGATGATAATCAGGCATTCACACAACATGACCAGTCCAACAAAGTTGATGTTGAAGAATCATTGCTTCAACACTGGTGATCTTTGCTTCTTCCAGTACACTGATATTGGTTTGCCTGTCTTCCCAAGTGATGTGTAAAAATTTTCGGAGACACCAAATACTGGCACTCCTAATCCATACATATCCCAGAATGGCATGAAGGGATAAGGTTATGGAATTTCAACGTTAGCAATGCACCACCTAGTGACTCAGTGGGGAACTGCAGTAATCTGCTGGTCCATGTTTAGCTTTTCACAACACAATATCTACTCTGTGTAAACATCTGAAATCATCATCATCATGTTTATACCCCACCCATCTGTCTGGGTTTCCCCAGCCACTCTGGACAGCTTCCAGCAAAATACAAAAAATAATAAAATGTCAAAGATTAAAAGCTTCCCTAAACAGGGCTGCCTTCAGATGTCTTCTAATAGTCAGATAGTTGTTTATTGCCTTGGCATCAGGTGGGAGGGCGGGTACCACTACCGAGAAGGTCCTTTGCCTGGTTCCCTGTAACCTCAATTTTCGCAGGGAGGGGACCACCAGAAGGCCCTTGGAGCTAGACTTCAGTGTCTGGGCTGAACGATGGGGGTGGAGACGCTCCTTCAGGTATACTGGACCGAGGCCATTTTGGGCTTTAAATGTCAGCACCAACACTTTGAATTGTGCTCGGAAACGTACTGGGAGCCAATGTAGGTCTTTCAGGGCCAGTGTTATATGGTCTCGGTGGCCACTTCCAGTCACCAGTCTAGCGGCCGCATTCTGGATTAGTTGTAGTTTCCGGGTCACCTTCAAAGGTAGCCCCACGTAGAGCACATTGCAGTAGTCCAAGCGGGAGATGACCAGAGTATGCATCACTCTGGCAAGACAGTCTGCCGGCAGGTAGGGTCTTATCCTGCGTACCAGGTGGAGCTGGTAGACAGCTGCCCTGGATACAGAATTGACCTGTGCCTCCATGGACATCTGCGAGTCCAAAATGACTCCCAGGCTGCAGACCTGGTCCTTCAGGGGTAACATAGTTACCCCATTCAGGACCAGGGAGTCCCCCACACCTACCCGCCTTCTGTCCCCTGAAAACAGTACTTCTGTCTTGTCAGGATTCAACCTCAATCTGTTAGCCGACACCCATCCTCCAGTCGCCTCCAGGCACTCACACAGGACCTTCACCGCCTTCACTGGTTCCGATCTGAAAGAGAGGTAGAGCTGGGTACCATCTGCATATTGATGAACACCCAGCCCAAACCCCCTGGTGATCTTTCCCAGCGGCTTCATATAGATGTTAAAAAGCATGGGGGAGAGGACAGAACCCTGAGGCACCCCAGAAGTGAGAGCCAAGGGGTCTGAACGTTCATCCCCCAACCCAACAACAACAACAACATAACAGCAATTAAAAGCCTCTGGAAGGGGCATGTGTCTTACTTTATACAAGATATTTGAAGCTCTGTTTATACCATAGCTTGTGAATTGCTTTCAGGTTCAATCTTTTCAACAGCAGTCCCTTTGGGTGCTGGTTAGATAATCTCAGGCAGACTATATTATCATATGATTACATTTCTTTTCTTTTAATGAAGCAGTAGCTCGTGTGTGTGTGTGTGTGTGTGTGTGTGTGTGTGTTATTTAAAAGTAACGTTTACTCTGTGACTGCTGTTCATCCTTGGTGCACCTCAGTGAAGCAGCATTTGGTTTCGCTGAGGTATCACTTGGGAGCGGAGCTAATTTATTTCATGACACAATGCAAGGAGCAATTTCATATGACAGGCCTTTTCTGACCACTCAAAAGAATTTCCATAATTACACTTAGCCTTTTGTACAACATTTTCAAAAAAGGAAACGAAACAGAAGAACCCCGATCCTAAAATATATAATTGCTCTAATTTCCCATTCAATAAAAGTGCAGTAAAAGGGAAGGAAAATCTTTTGTTTCCTGCAATTATTCTGTTTGCTTGGCTTTAATTATCTGAAGTTGAATCGCTGAATATCAGTTGAATAGCAGTTGGCTTCCCCCCAATCTTCTTCTTCTTCTTCTTCCTCTTCTGTTTCTCTCAGCTTTTATGCAGATTTTCAAGGTCAGTGAGATGAACCATCTGTTAACTTACATCTACAGAAATGATCAAGGAAGGCAGAAAGCCACCAAGAACGATCCCTTCTTACAGGAAATGTTCCACTCAACTATGGGGCATTGTAGGAGTCAGAAGGGACCTTTGATGTCATCCATTCCCCCACACATCCTGCTCAATGCAAAGAGCTGAGAAGGACAGCGTCCCTGACAGGGGAGGGCCATAGCTCAGTGGTAGAGCACCATGGGTTCAAATCCTGGCATCTCCTGGTAGGGATGAGAGAGACTCCTTTCTGGAGCCATGAAGTGATGCTGTAAGTCAATGTAGACAATGTACTGAGACAAATGGACCGGTGGTCTGACAAGGTATAAGACAGCTGCAGATGCTTCAGACAACAAAGATCAGCTGGATAGCTTATTCCAAGAGTAACAATGCAGACAGAAAGTCAACACAGAAATCCTCATGTTTCCAGGGCAACCACAGACCTTGATCCTGAGGGATCTGGGGATCAGGTACCTACATATTTCCCTCTCTGGAGCTACTAACTTTTGAGGGAAGAGTACTATCAGTGTTTCTCAAATGTAGGTCTCCAGCTGTTGTTGGACTACAACTCCCAGAATCCCTGACCACTGCCCCTGCTAGCTAGGGATGATGGGATTTGTAGTCTTAAGAACAGCAAGGGAGCCGAGTTCGGGAAACACTGATGACTGGTGGAAAACACTGCAGGAGGACAGGAGTAAACACCACAGAGGAGGTACATGACATTGTACCACGTATGTTCACCCAGTGCATGAAACCCTAGTCTGAATGACTCCCAGGTTTAAGAATCCATCAAACACATTTCAAAGACTACAGATCCCATGCTGCAGCGCAGCCTCGCTCAAATATTCTTCGTCGATAAAGGAGCACGCAAAACCGGCAGCCACACAGTGCCAAAGTCTTTGGAGCTTCGTCGCTCCCCATCTCCCTTCCGGAAAGCTGCAGAGACTCCACTCCTGGGAGGTCAGGCACATGACAGCAGCCCTTCCCACTGGCTGCTACCAACCGCCGGTCTCCTCCTTAAACACTACAAAGTCCATGTTGCAGGGCAAAGGCGATCAGGTGTGTGTACTCAGCAAACTGGCACGTGCAATCACGGTTCAGTTTCCCCTCGTTCTGAACCACCACCCGATCTTTCCGGTGGCACAAATGTCAATGTACGGAAATGCACCTGCGGAACAAACACTCTTGAGTGCTAATGAGCTTTCTGCATTTCTTCCCCTGATTTCCAATTAACAGAATGAGAAATAGAAGCATGAGGGGGAAGGGGTCCTTTAGCCACACGTCGTAAGAGCATGCCCTTGGCTTTAATGGAAATATAATTGCCACTTTGGATCACGGCGTCTCTGCTTATTGCCCACCCAAAACCAGCCTTGCAGCCACTGAATCATCCACGGATCTCTGGGTACCCTTCACTTCTCCAGGGAAACGGTGTTTTTTCCCTGCTAATCAAGGGACTTTGCCTACACAGCACTGCAGGCAGAGCGAGCGGAGCAGGGGGAAAGGCCTTCAGGAACACTTGAGGGAATTGCACTTTTAATGAACATTTCCCACACAATCCTTTTTCCAAAAAAACAACAACCCAGCCCCAATTCTTTCTCTTCCATTTCACAAATTGCCAGAGCGCCTTCTTCTACCCCAAGAGCTCTCAAGCGCCCCAGTTCAATCTAATCAAGTCTCTTGTTTTCCACACACTGCTTGACTTCAGAATCAATTAAGACTTGAGCAGAAGAGACCTTCGTAAAGCTTGGGATGCAGCAACGTGACGAAGCGCCCTGGAGAAAAGGAAACCAGAAGCAAAGGAAACCCGGAGGGTTCATACATCATACCTTGGTTCTCAAACTTAATCCGTTCCAGAAGTCTGTTCCAAAACCAAAGCATTCCAAAACCAAAGTGCGCTTTCCCATAGTAAAGGTAAAGGGTAAAGGGACCCCTGACCATTAGGTCCAGTAGTGACCGACTCTGGGGTTGTGGTGCTGATCTCGCTTTACTGGCCGAGGGAGCCGGCGTACAGTTTCCGGGTCATGTGGCCAGCATGACTAAGTCTCTTCTGGCGAACCAGAGTAGCACACGGAAATGCCGTTTACCTTCCCGCCGGAGCGGTGCCTATTTATCTACTTGCACTTTGAGGTGGTTTTGAACTGCTAGGTTGGCAGGAGCAGGGACCGAGCAACGGGAGCTCACCCCGTCGCGGGGATTCAAACCGCCAACCTTCTGATCGGCAAGTGGTTTAACTGACAGCGCCAACCATGTCCCCATGCTTTCCCATAGAAAGGAATATAAAATGGATTAATCCAGACTTTTAAAACAGAAATTTAACATGACTTTTACTATCTAACAAGACCATTGATCCATAAAATGAAAGCAATAAAGAATGTACTGCAGTCACACAATGTACTGCAGTCACACAATCAATCCATCAGTAGCTGAA